AAGAAAGAAAGAAAGAAAGAAAGAAAGAAAGAAAGAGAAAGAAAGAAAGTTGCTAAATTCCATCCAGCTTCTATCTCCTCGGTAGTCTCTATCTCACCTCTCTGTAAGACACCAGGATAGAGACATCCTGGATGTCTCAAAGATAAAAAAATATCTTAGGATTCAAGAGGAAGGACAAATGTAGTTATGACTAAGAGCATAAAATTTTCAGAATCACAGGTGGCTTAACAGCCACACATAAAAGCAAACAGGTACAAAGAAAATGATCTAGAATCACTTCCTCATCAGCTGAGTGAACCCGACGTGCAGTATCTGTCCTACCATAAAGGTGTTACGACTAAGTAATGAACGTGCTTTTTGTAAAGTGGTTGAATTTGTTTTTCATTTGCTTATTTATTTGTTTATTTATCCATTCTAAGGTCAAACTAATAATAAAAACTCTTCTTTGCAATCATGATTTTTGGGCTTTTCAGCTGACTCAGAATTCTGTTCCTAAGCCTTCTTGGGTGTATCCCCCGCCCCAATCATCTAAAAATTGCCTCTCCTTAAAGTGATTTCACTTCTGATTTTGCCGAATTGCTTTTTTTCCTTTATAGTATTTCCGATGTCAGTGCCTTGCTGAGCTCAGGGAATGTCCCTGCAGCTTCCCAGCAGGGACTCTGTGGGCACAAAACTGCACCGTGCCCTCTTACATTTGGGCTTCTTCGTAATGGCAGAGTCATGCTTTTGTTTCTTCCATCTTCTAGCCTGAAATGGCTCTGTGGTTTTCCCCCACATCATGAGAAAACACTCAGAACCTAAAAGAGCCATGAACTCATCCATCTCGCCTGCCCGTTTCACTGGTCCACTTCCAGTATTTATTGATGATCTACATTGTGTCTGGACGTGGTCTACCCCTTAGAGTTAGGGGGTGCTAATGAGTTGCATGTTGCTTCTCCAAAAACAGTGCTCATTCCTGACACTACCTGTAAAATACGGCTGAAACGTTAACTTCAATACCATTCAACACCAAAGTGCTCAATGCATTTGATGCACTGGCTTAAGAATGAAAGAGAAAAACCTCCAAAGACTAGACAGAAAAGAGGAGATGTCAACTTTGGGTTTAAATAATGGGCCCATCGATTTCCCGTGGTAACTTCTATGGGAAGAGTAAGTGGTAAGCTCAGAAAGGGTAGCGACCGGTGTCCTGTTACCCTGAAAATCCAGCAGGGCACAACTGGGGCTCCTTGTAATGGCAGGGTGATTTTTATAGGGTTGTTTGCTTACATTCCTGGTGGTAAGTGTTCTCTGCAGCCCTTGTTCAACCCTGCTCTTGGCCTGGAAGACTGGTAGACAGTTTCTCTGATCTCACAGCAATCTTTGAAGCATATTTGTGTTAGGAACCCACACTTAATAGCAGGGGATGGTTACTAAATTAGTCAGGGTTCTTGAAAGGAACAGAACTGATAAAATTACACACACACACACACACAGGCACACACACACACATGGATTTATTAGATTGGTTTATAGGATAGAGTCCAAGTGGTCTAACATTTTCACACACACACACACACACACACACACACACACACACACGGATTTATTAGATTGGTTTATAGGATAGAGTCCAAGTGGTCTAAGAATGGCTGTGCCACGTTGGAAAGGCTTCTGGTCTTCAGTCTATGTTTGAACCCAAAGAAGTTGGTTCTAATGTCGACAAATGAATGCCACAGCAACAAGATAGGTGAACTCACTGTGAGAAAGTAGACAAGCAGGCAAAAAGCAAAAGCCCCCTTCGGCCACATCCTTTAATCTGAGCTGCCACCAGAAGGTGCCACCCACATTTAGGGTAGGTCCTCTGGCTTCAAATTATCTGATCAAGAAAGTCCCTCATATTTCAGTTAATTTCAGATCCAGTCAAGTTGACAACCAAGATCAGCCATCACATTTTCTAACAATTGTCGGTTCCCCTACAAGGCCTTTCCTCTAGAGATAACCAAACATTTAGTGGACAACGAACGACAAACAACGACAACGAACAATGCTAGTAAGGAAAAACAACCATATTTTATAAGCACAGAGACCTAGGAATGTTTCCCCAAATTTACAACTAGCTTATGGCAGAGCTCAGCTGTTCTGACACCCACCTTATCCCACCCCCAAACTGTTGAGACAGGGTCTCTCTGTAGCCCCAACTGTCCTGGAACTCACTGTGTAGACCAGGCTGGCCTTGAACTCACAGAGATCCGCCTGTCTCTGCCTCCCAAGTACTGGGATTAAAGGTGTGCACCACCACACCTGGCTTGACATGACCTCTTAACATTTGATTAATGTCTCATTATGAAGCTCTGACTGGCCTAGAACTCACTATGAAGAGCAGGCAGGCCTTTAACTCACAGATTGCCTGCTTCTTCATCCTGAGTGCTGGGATTAAAGGCACGCACAGACACACGTAGTTTTTGCTTTTCTTTCTTGTTTTGTTTTTATTTGCTTGTTTTGCTCGTTTGTTTGCTTTGTTTGCTGTTTGTTTGTAACAGTAGCCCTGGATGTAGGGCTATGTAGCCCTGGATGAACTTTTTTTGACAGTTCA